ATTTTATTAAAATAGTATTATCCAAATACCACAACCAAAGACAGTATACATACACACACAGAGAAAACTACAGACCCTCATAAACTTAGACACAGAAATTTAAAACAAAATATTAGTAAATGGAATTTCGAAATATATAAAAAGAACTACATATCATAATGAAGTTGGCTGGGTATTTATTATTTATTTATTTATTTACTTATTTATTTATTTATAGTCTCACTCTGTTGCCCGGGCCCAATATTTAAAAATAAATCAACACAACCCACCATACTAACAGGTTAAAGAAGAAAAATCACGTAACCATATCAATTCATTTAGAAAAGCATTTCATAAAATTTAATACCCACTCATGATAAAAACTCTCAAAAACATTGGAATATAGAACTTCTTCAACTTGCTAAAGATGATCTATAAAACCCCTATAGATAATATTACACTTAATGGTGAAAGACAAAATGCTTTCAGAATGAGGCAATGATCAGAAATGAGGCAATGGTATCTACTGTTACCACTCACTCTTGTTTGATGTAGTAGTAAAAGTTTTAGTCCCTCCAACAAGGCAAGAAAAGGAAATAAAAGGTGAACAGACTGGAACAGAAGAAATAAAATTGTTCCTATTTGCAAATGACATTCTAATCATTGCATCTTGGGACAGAAAATTCTAAGAGAGTTATAAAAACAAAAAACAAAAAAAAACCTCCTAGAACTAATAAGTGAGTTCAACAAAGTCACAAGGGACAAGATAAATATACAAACATCAATTGTGTTTCTATATACCAGCAATGAACATATGGACAGTGAAATTTAAAATATAATACTATTTACAATTGCTCAAAAAATGAAATACTTATGTCAAAATCAATTTTGCTGTTTGCAAATATGTATATTAACACATATTTCAGAAGATTAAGATAAATCACCTCAAGTGCCTGGCACAGATTAAACACTCCCTAAATGGCCACTAACGATTATGGCCATAGTCAACTGTGTCTAAACTCAGCCTTATAACGTGGCGATATTATAATTCACCAGGAGCCCCTCCCTACAGGATATTGCATCCTTTTGGATAGCAAACATTGGAGACAGCTGTTTCTGAAAGTAAGATTAAAGAGCACAAGGCCCACTGTTCACATATGATGAAGTGACTCAGAATTAGGAATTAAGACCATGTCTACACTCCCCAAACCAAGTGCAATATTTTAAAATAAAAAAAAGAAATGTACCATGTGATTTATAATATGATTAAAAACAAGGTCTAGAGTTACTGGGTTTCATAGTGCAAATCCTGCACATTACTGCACCTTCAAAACACAGGGAAGAGCTGATGTTTGGAAAATAAGACAAAGGACATTCTAAACAAAACTATGATAATTTATTTTAGTAGCACATAAAACAGTATTCACCATTATTTCTCAAAGCTCTAAGAAGCTTTTAGGATTTGAATTTCCTTTTGTAAAAATGTATTTTCACAAACGAGTAAAATATGCAGAAAGATTTATAAAAGTACTAAGTAATGTATTTTATTTTCTAGTCTACTGAAGTCACCAGGGGAGTCAAAGAAAAAAAAAACCTTTCTTGTGCTTTGTCCCTGCAACCACTGTATTCTTCCCAGGAAGGTGAATGCACCTCTTTTCTATGCCATTGAATAGGTGTTTGCCATGTCAGAACTAACCTTTTATTAATGCCATTCATGGTGATTTAATATGTCGGCGAACATGAGAGTGAGGCATACCAAAGCAGACAATGAACTTTTGGCCAAAACACCCTGGGAAAGCTGTGGCACATTATTAATACAAATGATGAGAAAGCAAGGTATTGCTGGTGATGTGGACGTGTGCTATGGCAGTCCTGGCACCCTGGGAGTCTTGGTGAGAGGTGGTGCACATGCCGAAGGAACTCTGCTGGCTGTGCTGGTCATGGTACCAGCATGTCTCTGGGTTTCAGGGTTCTTGGTTAGTCAGCCAGACACGTATGATGGTGGGAGTGATGAGGGGTGTGGAGGAGGGGAGGGGTGTCTCTCTCTCATAGACAGAGAAGCTCTATGGCCATACAGGACCATCACTGGTGGGAAGGGAAGCCGTGAACGGAGTGAGGGTCACAACTGTCACACAGGAGTGGTGGGTGCTGTTGATAACTCTTAGTTCTTACATGTTTCAGTCTGGGGCCAGCTCTGTCACTTAAAGTTGAGATAGATGTCAAGAGAGGAGCTACTCAAGCAAGGTTCACAGGTGCCATGGTGGTTTTCAAACAAGTTCACAAACTTTTTGACATTTTTCCCACAAAAGGTAAAGACTAATTCCCTTTTCCTTGAATATGGACCAGTCTAATGGCTCACTTCTAACCCCAAAATGTGATGGAAGTGATGCTACATTTCTTAGGCTAGGTTAGAAAAGGCAATGAAGCTTCCATCTGGTTCTCCCTCTCTCCCTGCCCATCCCACCTCCCCGTACATTGGACACCCTGAGCTGACATGTAGGAAGCCTGGCAACTCTGATGCCACTATGCTGGAGAGACCACATGCCAAGTGAGTCCACACAGGGATGGAGAGAGCCTGCGGAGCCTTAGCTGTGCCAGCCCCAGCTGGTTGAGTCTTTCCAGTATCGACTGCCAGCCATTTAAATAATTACAGTTGACTCTAGAATAACACGAGTTGGAACCGTGGGGACCCATTTCTTTTCTTCTGCCCCTGCCATCCCTGAGACAGCAAGACTAACCCCTCCCCTGCCTCCCCCTCCTCTGCCTATTCATGTAAAGATGACAAGGATGAAGGTGTTTATGATGATCCACTTTCACTTAATGAAGAGTAACTATATTTTTTATTTCTTAATAACACATTCTTTTTTTGTCCCTAGATTACTTTATTATAAGAATATATAATACATATAACATAAAATATGTGTTAACCAACTATTCGTGTCATAAGGCAGGCTTCAGCAGTAGACTATTAATAGTTAAGTTTGCGGGGAGTCAAAAGTTATTTGCAGGTTTTTGACTGTGCAGAGGGTTGGTGCCTCTAACTCCCACATTGCTCAAAGGTCAACTGTATTCTACTCCTTTTCGAGCCACCTCAGCTGACACCAAGCAAAGCAGAGACATGCTATCCTACCACGTCCTGCCCAAAATGCAGATTCATGAGCAAATGAAATGCTGCCGTTGCTTTAAGCCACTGAGTTTTGAGATAATTTCTTATGCAGCCTTAAATAACCAGAACAGAGATCACAGTGAAAGAGGAAGATCTATTTTCAAAGAGCTCTTAGATTTTTGAGGTACAGTACATCGATATCTACAGAGCTTTGTTCAGCAGACAAGGACGGGACAAAGTATAACTTCCTATGAGAAACTAGTGGTGAAGATGAATAAAATGTTTTATAACAGGGTGGTGGGGTTTTGAACTCAAAACAGACCAAATTTAAATCTAACTCCAGTCTTTGCTAAGTTTGTGATCTTAGTCATGTTATGCAACTTCTCTGAACTCCAGCTTGCTCATTTGAAAAACTGTGATAATAATATCAAATTCATAGGGTTGTTATGATTAAGTGAGCTGATAATAGGTACTTAATGATGACTGTTATAATTTGTCTCTGTTATATCTGCAGTTTTCCTATCTTTGCATTACACCAAAATTAGCAGTGGTAGAATACTAATGCTCCAGCTTACGCTGGTTACTAAAGCACCCTTCTGTAACATACAGTTCACTGTTTAATGGAGAATTTGCCACTGTACCTTCTACATTTTCAGCATTGTGCTACAACTGTGGAAGCTATAAAACATCACCCTGGAAAGCCAACAATCTAAACATCCCAAATTGAGTGATATGTGAGCAAGGACTTCTGCTTCCCAAGTGTCTGACACAGTTCTGATCTCCAAGTCTCCCTGCCAGAGGGCTACAAAGCTGTGGAAAAGGCTTTCATTACAAGCCCTGGCTACCACAGAGATTTCTACACATTATACCTATTGCATGTATTTAACAATCAATCAATACATTGATCATACATTATACCCTTCTCTTGTTTCTTACATTCGTTTTCTGAAACTATCTGCTCTTTGAAACAAATTTTAATCATCTGGCTACCACACGTTGAAAAGTGCTTTCCACGTAAGATTTAGAAGAACTCAATGTACAGTTCAATTAATACTTGTTGAGAGCTTGTTAGAACCTAGGCACAATCAGCTAGAAACTATTAATGTGAAATTTAAACCTAGTGATTCAGTATCTGGTAAGGATAACAAGACAATTCATCTGTAACGAATAGAATTTTGACTAATTTTCCTATTTTAAAAGATATTAATTTTAAGAGACTGATAGCAAATCAAAGATTTCATTCATATTGCTGATAAGACTACAGCATTCTAAAACAGTTCAGACAGCAGCCTTTTTATGTCTCATAGCTCTGCATAGAGGGGTTTACACTCTTCTGAAAGAAACTCTGAGTTCTCACTGAAGACCTGGATAATTATCCAGGTCAAAACAACAAATGCTGTCATGGGCTTTAAAAACCTTCAGTTTTGCCTAGCTGATTAAGATTTTATCTTTCCATTGTTTTCCACAGTAGTAATAATTGAGTATCTAATGTTTATGAGCATTAACTAACCTAAAAAGAACACAAAATATTGTTGTGTAATTTAGGTTGGTTGGTTTGTTTTTGAGACAGGGTCTTGCTCTGCTGTCCTGGGTAGGGTGCGGTGGTGTTCTCATAGCTCACTGCAGCCTCCAACTCCTGGCCTCAAGCAATGCTCCTGCCTCAGCCTTCCTAGTAGCTGGACTATAGGTACGTGCCACCACGCCCAGCTGATTTTTCTGTTTTTTGTAGAGATGGGGGACTCCATATGTTGCTCAGGCTGGTGTCGAACTCCTGGCCTCAAGCAATCCTATTGTCTCAGCCTTCCAAAGTGATTACGGGTGTGAGCCATTGCATCTGGATTATTTTTATTTTTATTATATTTTTTCCTCATCAACAGCATGCTTTTTCTTTAAGGTAAAGTCTGAATGTTTTTCGTTTTTTTTTTTTTGGTCCCTTAGTCAGATCTTCAATCTTCTTTAGAGTTCCAAACAACTCCATCCTCTTTTGCTATTAGCCTCTGTCTTCTCCAACTTTCCAGTATCCCTCTGAAACTGAAGTATAATACCCAAATTGCACTGGGAGCTTACAGGGGTCTAACAGAGGTAAGTAGCTGGGAAGAATTGCTATATGGTTCTGTGAATTAACTCCTGAAACTTGGAAGTTTATTTCCCATCTCTGGCCCTACATAGTACTACCCTCAATAATTCCTCCCTTTGAAGGGGCTAGAGAATGTTATGTAAAACTACTCAAGCTTCAACTTTTCATGGGTCAGAAATACCCAGGGGCTTTGCTTTTTAATGTAACTTCCTTAGATAAAAGCCGGTTTCCTTTTTCCAATCCGGGAAGTGGATGTCTGTAATACAACATAAATTACACAGTTTCTGATTTTACTGTCTAGACACCATCAACCCCCTTAACACTACCTTCTCTGTCAAAAGTCTGGGCAGGGCCCAAAGAAAACCCATGTCCAACTAAGCTCGGAAACATATTTCTTCCAACTAAAGCTGGCAGGACTCTGGTGAACACATTTAAAGCCAACAAAAAGTAGGATTGGAAAATTAAGAATGGTTGAATAAAAAAAGAAGAAAGAAAGAGGGCAAGTACAAAACCCTTTCACAAATTAACAAGGCTCAATGGCATCAAGTACTTGAAGGGTTTCCATCTCCACCCCAACTGCTAAATGAAGTAGCCTATCAGCCCTGCAGATAAGTGCAGACATTTTTAGAGCCTCACTCTCCTCAGCAGAGGCTCCACTGTCTCAAAGACACAGAAAATAATAAGAGAATTAAAGCACGTGCTCAAGAGCATAGCAATACTCACCTGGATTTTTATAGCACTTCTTCCTCCAGCTCAGAATCACCCTCACAGCACACAAGGAGAGATTAGAATATTGGAAAGGAGACAAGAAATCAGTTGCATGTTCAGGGAGGGAGGGTTGCACAACTGCATGAGGTTGAAGACTCACTAAACTTCTCACATCACCCAATTGCTTTCCTCCAAGCCAGCTGAGGAAATTAATAGTAGTAATCCAAATTAATAGTAGTAATAATGGTAACTATCATTTATCAGTTGAGTACTATGTGTTATGCAGATGTTTCATATTTATTATTCTCACAACAGCATAGCTTTCAACCCTATGACATGTTTGCCACAGAGAAGGATTCGGCAGAAGAAAGGTCTGTCTTGGATCACATCTATGGAAGATGAGTTTCTGAAAGTCCAAAAGGATGGTTTTGATAATATCTTGCTTAGAAATTGCACTTTAACATTATAAAGACTTTTCTCATATAAAAATATATATTTTATATATATATATACATATCTTTCTTCCATTTCATCTTCACATTAGTCTTGTGCAGCAGGAACCTTTACCCCTATCTTATCTATGAGAAAACTGAGGCCTGGGAGATAGTAACCAAAGCCACACACTCATAAAAAATAAGACCAGGCTTAATCACAGTCATCCTAACTCCAAGTCCTGTGTTCTTCCCACGGGATGGGTCCCGAGAATATTGTGAATGCTAAACTGTACTGAACATAGTCTACTCAATTCAACTAACATTCACTGAGCACCTACCATGTGCCACTCACTGTGCTCAGTGCCAGAGGCTCAGAAGTGAAAAAGCCACAGGTACAGTAGTGAAGGAGTTCATAAATGAGTGAGGGAGACCACCATGCAAAGAAATAACTATAATATAGAGTGGTATGTACTGACCTAAACTAAGCAGAAGACATGTGATAACTCTAAGAGTCTGTGAAAGTTTCAAGGAGGAGGGACATCTTAGCTAGCATTAATAGGATAAATTCCGGAGTTTAGCAAGCATATTGTTTTTCAATTGTCAAGAAAGAAGGGTAAAAAATTAATGATTTGTGCAATGCAAGCACAGTGCCCAAAATTAAATATTTAGGAACATTGACATATGTGAGTCTCCAAGCCAGACCATATGGCATCCCATTAGGATAGATGGTCAATATTAAAAACAAGTGAAGAATACATGAAAGAATAAAGTCCTTCTGTTCTTCCTAAAGGGTATATGCTCAATGAAAATCTCATGTTAAGTTTTAAAGCCATATGAATTTATCCCAACAGTTAAATGTCATCTGCAACTCTGACCATTTGTTAGAATGGCAAACTCAAAAGATTATAGCCCAGTAAAGACATCTGGAGCACGCACTTATTTTCTGGTGCATCTCTAATCAGGGCTGGTTAGAAGTTGAGACATTCATGCTGAGCTGTACTGGCCCAGTAATTACGCACGGACTTATATGTCCAATGGCCGGCTTTCCAGAAATGGGAAAGCTGAAAGCCAGCCTGGCCCACCTGATTGTCCCCATTTTGTCCTATCCTTTGACCACATCAAATCAAAGACACCAGGTGGAATTCCCACCTTTCGTGGCCCAATATCCAAAATCCTTTCGTTCTTGTTCTTTGCCCTGGTTTCAACCCCACTTCCCTTCCTCCCTACCTCCCTTAATCCTCCTGCTCCCCCAACCCCAAATCTCTAGCTTATGGCTTAACATCATAGACATGTATCAAGTTCTTGAGTAGAAACTGAGGATTTCCTTTCCAACCTGTTCTTCCTCGTTTCTTCTTCTCTCTTTCCATTTGCCTCCTTTCCTTCCAGTGTCCACTCTCCCAGCAGCAATAGCTTTTTATATTATGTCTTAATTTTCATCTGGGGTAGGACAGCAGTGTTCTCACCAAAAGGATATAGGACAGGCCAACTTTCAACAGGAGAGAAAGGAAGGTGGTCATCATTGAATTTCAAAACTCCATGGAAAAAAGACCAGACTGTGGTCTCCCCGCCCAGCTGCCCAGGGCAATTTTTCTTTCATAAGAGTTCAGTGTTTGGATTCACTTGCTAGCAGGAGGCTAGCCACATGGGAGACACCAATCATTGTCTGCCTATTTATATGCAGGAATCTGTGCAGCAACAGACTGCTACTCTAAGCAAACCTACTTTGACCTTTGATCCTGAAGCTACATCTGATTGGACACCGGACCCAAAGCCAGTCTATTCACAGGCTGGCCAGCCACCTATGACTTGGTTGCCCAACTCAAAAAATTAGTATGGGCCCATGAGACTTCCTACTTAAAGCATTTAAGAAACTGGAAATCTGAGTCAGATTGCTATGGCAGCTAAATTAAAAGGATATGAGGTAAATTCTGGGTGGACCACAAGGAAGCTCAAGATAACCTTGGGAACAGAATGAGGCAGATCCACAAAGAGAAGAGACAGAAAGAAGAGGAGAGACTCCACACCCCTAAATGATTTTGTGGTTTCACTTTGAGCCTATCCTTAAAATCTTTCTCCTTTTTTTTTGCAGTAGACATGAATAGATCTCTGCTGTTTGCAACCTAACTCTGACTAGAATGTAAAATCATTTACCCAGTAATATGATTGCTAGTCTGATCCTGAGGGTAGATCCAATTTACTTCCAAACTTTGTCAAAGATTCAAATTCAGTTACCAGGAATTCCATTACCAGGAATTGCAGGTTTAGTCAGTCGGAATTATGCAAAATGTTAACCAAAAGCTATACTGGCCTTTGCACTCTGAATTTCCTCATCAACAGGCTAATCATCTAACCCTGACCAAAACATTGGAATCATTTCTCCTCTGCAAAACTATCCTTCCCCTTCAGATTAAATCATCAAAAAGAGGAGCCAGCTGTGTCCCTATATTCATCACTTACTCTAATCAAACTGAGGAAGACATGGACACCTTGTACAGTGCTGTGTGTTCAGTAGTAAATATCAACCAATTATGAACAGGAGCTGGAATCTTCATCACTCTTGCTTGTTAGAACATCAAGGTTTATTACTTTAAAGTTGTTATTCAGGATCACCAATCAGAATTCATGCTTTTATCATTACTAAGCCTGCTCTTTAATTCTCTCAATCACTTATGTTCTAAAAGATAAAGAATGGCAGGAATTATTATTAAGAGCGCGAGGTTCTGAGAATCTGGTTTATTTTAGAGTTCTGTGAAGTATTCATTTCCTCCTCACACTACCTGCCTTTGTTTACAAGTGAGTATCCCTCTAATGCTCTCCTTCGGTGCAAATATTCAGATGAAAAACATGCACATAAATGAGTGGTATCTTAGTCTGAAGAAATGTGCTGGGCATCATCAGCGGGTCTAAGTTCCGACTATGGTTCAGGACACTCCAGTGACTCACATGACCTTTCTGCTAAAGGATTTGCATCACATCCTTTTTTCTTGTTCTGCACTATATGGAATTACAATAATGTGAATAATTTTTCTTTTATAAAAAAAACCACAAAACACAGGAAATCTATCAAAAACAGTTTTGACGATTGAGAAAATCACATTTTAATCTGTTTAAACACAGTAAAATTTCTTTTCTACCAGCAAATGCCATTTTATTAAATTGGAGTAAAGTCAGTTTCGTGAGTTCCAAGAACAAATTTGTTTATTAGATGAAGTTAGAAAAGTAGCACTGAGAGCTAGTTACTACAGGAGGAGGGGAGAAAGAAGGAAAATAAGGGTTTGCCTTAGTCAAGTCACCTTACTCTTAATTTTCTGGTAGGTTAAACCTAATACATACTTTAAAATATAAAGCACATGTTGGATTTGAGACCAATCAGTAGAATGGTCCATCAGCACAGAGCCAGTAACCAGGGATGGTTCCAACTGGCAAAAGGAAGAAGAGAGGTCAGAATGGCAGCTGGCAACAGAGGCCCCTGCAGAAGGGGCCAGGCTGATGGGCAGAGCCCAGTATAAGGCAGGCTGGTGTTTGGCCTGATACACTTACCAAACAGATGTATGAGCGAGCTGGCAGAACATGGCACCAGAGGGCTTAGCAGTGAGTTTCAGGGATTCTCTCACACAAGGACTAGAGGTCAGCCTTGAGGTCTTTGATGGGACATCCAAGCAGGAAACCAGAAAAGAAGGTCAAGATTTAAGTCCAGTTAATGGAACCAAGGTACAACTTGAGCATATGAAATGAGCAAGGGTCATGTTGGGGCCGGGCCATCAACATAAGTGATGAGGCTGACCAAGTGACCTACTGACCAAGAAGCCCCTTATTTCCTCTGCTAATAGCCAAACTGCTCCCAGGGCTTGGATGGGGGCCAAGACAGCTGGTGAGAATGATGGATTTAAAATGCTGGCCCACAATAAATACACGATAAATTATATTATTGTTGTTTATTGAGGGTGAAAGGATTAACCGAGAGAAGATGGATCACACTGGAAAGGGTCTATGAACCTTAAGACTGGACTAAAGTACAACAGAGATACATGTTTTGTGGGTGGCAGACCGAGCAGGTGGGGCTGAATCTCTGCAAAGCATAGTAGTAGGAACAAGTGGGAGATGAAACTGAGAGGCTGGTAAGAGGTGTGGTTGTACTGGACAGAGGGGCACACCTCAGGGTCCAGATGTCAGTGCTGGCCAGAGGCAGGCACCCATGGGGGTAGAGTTCTAGTCTTCTCCAGTAGGGAAGGGGAACATTCATAAGAACAAAATCAAAGCTGTACAAAAAGTAGCAACAGCATGGGTAATTCACTAATTTATCTTGAACACAGGTAACACGGGTCTCATCTAAAAGCTGATACTCATGTCCTTTGCAGGTAAGGTCTCTTACTAACGTTTCACACCTGTATGTGGCAAGGACCTTTTCCTTTGCAGTATTTACCACTATTTTTAAGTACACACACATTTGTGATTATTTCTTTTATGTTTATCTCCCCAATTAGACTATTGGCTCCATCAAGGCAGGCATATTTGTTTACTTTATGTTTTTACATACAGAGGCACTCAATAATAATTGCCTGTTGAATAAACAAAAGTAGTGTTATCCTGTTTTACAGGTGACAAAAGTGTACCAAAAGGTTTTTTTGCCCAAGTTCACCCTGCTAATAAGTGGTAGATCTGGGTCTTTACAGTTGACTAAAGCTTTCTAAGAGTAGCCTCTTTCTATCAAGACCCCTCTCCAAGGGTTGTCAGAGCTTAGTATCATGGTTATTGTGCACGGAACCTTGGTCAATTCTATTCAGTCAGAGATACCATCATGAATAGACTGGTTATCCCTAGTCCACAAATAATAACATTGCTCTTATCACTGTGTACAATCTATCACTCATTGTAAGAATGTTACCACTACAATTACATTTGTATATGGCATCATAATATTCAGAGCACTTTCATATTCAACATCCTTGGGAAGTAGGCAGAAAGAAATTTTACAGGAAACTGAAACCTGTGAATTGTCCAAGATGATGTAACTGAGAAGTGGAACCAAGATTCAATTCTAGGAGGAATTTTACCTTGCAATGTAATAATTTTAAAAGTGCTTAAAAATGGAAACATTTTTAATGTGTAAAGATATTGAAAATGTGAATTCAAATCTAAACACACATATATGAGCAGTTAAAGATCAGATGATAAGTTTAAACACAGAAATTCTCTAAGTACTCATTCACTTAGAAGATCAGAAGGATGAAGGGAATTATAGAAAGGGTAATCCCTTTTGAATCAGTTGGGTATGACGACTTACTCCTAAAAACATGAGCTGGAGAAGAGGCCAGTACCCACACAGGCCTGCCTTTAGAGTGGCACAGGTGCTGGGTGACTGGCTCAGCTGCCAGCTGAGGTTCTAGAAGACATCTCTAATGGTCTTGCCAACCTCCTGGCATGTTTTAGGTGAAGTCAGCACAGAGGTTTAATTACTGATACAAGAGATACTCTGTGCATGACACTGCTGAGTACCTTACACATGTTATTGCATGTAGTCATCATAACTAAACTATAGGCTAGTCAAAACCACACACCAGTATTTACAGATGATGAGAGTGAAGCTCAACTTGCTCAAGGCCACACAGCTAATAAGCAGTGGAACCTAATTTGAATTTATAGCTGACCTCTTCCAGCCCTCAGGGCACATGGAAAGGAGGAGACCGCCACAGCTCAAGGAATGTCCTGCACGTCAAGCAGTGTGCCTCCTGAGTCAGTTTAGAGGCATGTGTCTCTGGATACCTGGGTTGTGTGAGAGGTGGGAACGTTAGGGGTGATGAAGACTGAAGTACCTGTGATTTGGTACCTTGAGTGATGATGGGTCTGGGGCGTGGGCCGAGCTGAAGACACAGTGGGCAGATGAGCGAGGAGCAGAGGAGAGCAGCAGCAGTGGAAATGAGACTGTGGTCAGCAAAGCAGAAAACGGAGGACTGGGCTCTCAGGTGGCCCTATAGGCAGTGTGCTTTCTGAACAACCTGCCATCCTGGGCTGTAGTATCACAACATCATAATTTGGTTTACAAATGAGCATATCACTTCTAAGTGTATGGAAATACTCCATAGCATTAACACGAGGGAATCCCTGATATTTGAAAATTAAATGCCTATTCACTGGGAAGAGCCTGAGACTTTTCATCTACACTGTTTGCTTTTCTTCTCTTCCTCTCTATCTCCTGCATTTTTTGCTGCATTTATATGAGTGGTTTTACCCTCCTACTAGGTAATAAAAGATCTAGTGGCCATTTGCTCAATGGAAGTCAAGTGCCTTTGACACATCCCAAAATTCTATTCTTGCTGCAAACAACAAAGAATGGCAACAAAGGCTAAAATGATAGTACTTACTTAAATTTTGTTTTGGTTTCCTAGATAAGTAGATTTTAAACCTCTTGAAAATGACCCACAGTAAGAAATGCACTTTATATTGTGACCTACAACACACAGGGAAACATGTATATGTATGTAAATGAAACAAAGGTTACAAGAAATAATACCTGGCTGTATTAAGGGCAATGAATGCATTTTGATATTTTCTATTCTACTCCAGTTCCTTTACAAACAAACAAACTGGAGTGATGCACTAGGGTAACTTTATGATCTACCCATGAGTTGAAACTTGAAATTTGAAAATCACTATCCAGACCTAGAGTATAACACCAAATCTACAGAGGCAGAGGAACTCCTTTAAAAAATGAAGGTGGGCCGGGTGCAGTGGCTCACGCCTGTAATCCTAGCCCTCTGGGAGGCTGAGGTAGGAGGACTGCTTGAGCTCAGGAGTTCGAGACCAGCCTGAGCAAGAGGAAGACCCCATCTCTACTATAACTAGAAAGAAATTAGCCAAACAACTAAAAATAGAAAAAATTAGCCGGGCACAGTGACGCATGACTGTAGTCCCAGCTACCTGGGAGGCTGAGGCAGAAGGATCACTTGAGCCCAGGAGTTTGAGGTTGCTGTGAACGAGGCTGATGCCATGGCACTCTAGCCCAGGCAAGAGAGTGAGACTCTGTCTCAAAAAAAAAAAAAAAAAAAAAAAAAAAAGAAGGCGAGCAAATTCTGGGGACTGCAGGTACTCTTTCTCCTACATTGACAGCTCCGGAAAAGCCCACCCCAAGGGTGAAATCAAGAAGACCTGCATGGAGGTGATCTCACACTGAAAGAGCCCAAATGAGAAGGTACAATTCATTAAAAAAAAATATCCTGGCTACAGGACCACTGAAAGAATGTAACTCAAGAATCCCTCTAAGCATTTTTGATGACCGACATTACCACCAAGCATTATTCACAAGGAAGGCATTGTTAGAAAACTGATTTTAAGTTAACTTTATTCAGAATGTGTATAAACGGTGTGTGCATGTGTGGAGGGGTATTTTTAAAACAGGCCAAGGGACAGTAGCTATTACATTTGTGCAATTTCCAGTCATTAGCTTGACCTCAGAGCACGAGAGTGTTTCAGGGAGTGTGTATTGAATCATAATTGAGCCCTCAGCTGCACTGAGGCCAGTGGGCTATATCTTGTATGTTTTCCTGCATTTACTTTAAAGAAAATGTTCTAACTTAAATCTCTATTACGCCACCCTCCCACCCAGAAGCTTCTCTTTGGGGTCTGTACAGTTTAGAAGCAATATTAATCCTCAATTTTCTTGTAAATCACTCAGAGGCTTCAGTTATCCAGCTCAGTGCTCACAAAGAAAAATGCAGACACAGACATGACAAGCGCACACTACCCATTTTTTCGCATGTAATTACAGCTCCAAGTTGCACAATTCCAAGCACTTCTACAAACACACAATTTCACCAGTCACAGCCACTGTTTGCCTCTACCATTAATGTCTCTTATCAAAATCTTCAGAGTACTGTTTTTTGGGGGGACAAAAGAGCATGGGTGAAGGAGTACACTCCACTCTTAGCACTAGGCTGCTCAGCTGGGAAAAGGGGGGTCACCACTAAAAACTGGATGCTCCATTTCCCTGCTATCACAGATGGACCCATTACTAACCATCCATATACACTTCGTCAGAATGAACCCTAACATACACATCAGTCCAAATGCCTTATGCTTTATGGGCACCATCACCAACAAATATTGCTCAAATGGGTTACTGGGGAGAGAAAATTAAATTTCCTTTGGCCATTCTTAATAAGGGTAGGACTTCCATCTATCTAGTACAGCAGAAATATGAAAGTCAAACCAGTGATTTTCAAGGTCATTTCTGGGCTATTAGATAGTGATCTGAGAATGACATGAAAATTATGTTTTAGCACATTTAGTGTTTGAATACATGCGGGGGTTCTCTGAACTAAAATAAGTGTTCTGAGTTTCTATCCCCATTTCAAGAGTGTCGTCAGCCAACTCCTGACATTGGACCCTGAGGCCTCCGGTGCCAGTGTAGGTCTCAGCCTCCACCTGAAAGTTGCTGCTTCCTTACTGTGTGCACCCTCTGGCAAGGGGTTCAGGGCATGCTGCTGCCACTAAATCTAATCTCAAAAAAAACTGCAAAAGGTACCAGTTCAGATGCTTTCCCATCTTAATCAACCTAACCTTCCCTTAACTGGTTTAGAGTATGTCACCAAAAATGGGCAGGTAGAAGCAGCTTCTAGCAAATGGTGAAGCTAACAATCTTCCTCCTCATCACATTCCCCAATCACATCTACCAGGCCATAAAGAATTACAGACCCAATACCAGTTTGCTGAATGGACAGGGGCCCAAACAGTCAGGAAATCATCACTGTAAGGAGTCAACGCAAAAGTGGAAATCAAATGTGACTTCATAGAAAACAATGAGATTTTGGACATGGTTCCCAGGACCTAACTAGCCATCAGGCATGAACCTCCAGAATTTCTATAAAGAGGCTGAGTGGTACAACTGGTTGAAAGGGGATGCAGTGGATTTTCAATTTTTTTTTTTTTTACTATGACCTAGAGTAGAAATTTATTTACCTAATCAGTACACACACAACTACAAATGCATACAGATGAAACAAGTTTCATGAAACAATAGATACCCATATAATACTTATTATGTTGTAGTACACTTTGATATTTTCTACTAATTCTATTACAGTAAAAATAAAAGATCTGGTCATGACCCACTAAATTGATTTCATGACCCACTAGTGAATGGAGAGGAGCAATTGGGGGGAAAAATGGTACAAAAAGCCTTGTGTTGAAGCTGCACTCTAGTTGCAGACTGTTTATATATTTGGGTTAGCTTGAGGAGACTTAGAGATTAGGGAGGCCTAAAGTCTTAGGGATGTTTAGTTTGAGAATAACAGAGAAAAATGAAGAAATAAGTGACCTTTCTGACTAGTTCCTCCTACCTCTTAACACTGTAATTTTCAGAGAAAGGGGAGCTGGAAAGACAAGGTCCCTAATGGAGGATTAGGATGGCATATTATACAAAAAGTTAGAAAAATACCAAAAGCAAAAAGCAAGAGCAAAAATGGCTTGGGGACTTGAAAATAAAGTACAAGATTGAAATTTCTCCATATAAAACTCTTGAGCTGGAAAATATGATTATATCACAAATGGCCTAAAATATGACCCAAAGCCAAACTGTAGTTACAATAATCTTTCTTCCTGAAATGATGGCTTCTTATGACTCAAAATAATAATAATAATAAATAATTAAGAGAACAAAATGGCTGTTTTTCTTCTATCATTATTTTGAAACTGCCAAGATTAATTCACTAAGTTCAGCTTTTTGAATAATCTCAGGCTAAAAATGTCTAGGTTTATCTCCACATTTAAAAAAATAATTACATCTATATCTGACTAGGTTAACAATCTTAATGTACACACAGCTAAATATAGAAAGGCCACTTTAAATGGGTATCTTTTACTTTTTTGTCTTTCCTTAGAAAAATAACTTCATGCAGTTTGTGTTATACAATTTTGCACAAACATAAGTTAATGTAAGTGTTTTGAGGACTTTTAAAGTAGGCTAGGCTAAGCTTTTGGGAGGCAAAAGTTAAAACTTTGAAAATGAAACTAAAATTTTGACATCAGGAATGGAAATCAGTATACATATATGGAGAATTTATAAGAAAGAAATACCATGGGCAAGTCAAGACTTAGTTATAATGAAAAACAAAACTTGCAGCACATACCTCATAACATTTGCTATTTCTTCAGGTCCTTGATTCATTTACCACAGAGACATCAACTGGCAGACACTGAGGAAAGTGATGTGTGATGGTGGAAAGTACATGGGTCCAGGGATCTTATGTTATTTCAATGGCTTTTATTTAAAGTCTTTTATAGAAAAAATTACTTATCAAATGTGTTATAAATGGTTGAGTAAGCAGAGTTTTAGAAATAGATTTAGCAAATTCGACTGCATCTCATAATGGATTATCATTAGTAAGGCATCAGTTTAATATGATTGGTTAATTAAGCAGAACAAGTATAATGTCTTGGGTTGAATAAAATCCAGTATTTTTTATTCATCAAACCCCAATCACTTCTCATGAATATAATTTAACATCATCTCCCCATCCATTTCCTCTATCTCCTTATCCCTTTCCCAGCCTACACTTGCACCCCAACACAACCTGAATTCTGAAAGGAAAAAATAGCACAGTTAAGCTGGAAAGAATGTTTAAGCTTAACATTACTGGAAAAGTCAAAACAAGCATCTCCAGACCACCAGAATAGTGTTGTAGTTTTCCATCACGCTGCCCTCCTGTAACATGTACAAAGTTCAATTCATGATTATAGATGCACACTCAGTTTAGGCTGCCCTTGATTTACAGTAATGTGAGGTTCAATGCTGACTACTGTGAAGATGGAGAGATCTATGAAGAAAAACACACTTCAACAGCAAATAGGAATTATCTTTTTCTTACTTGTCATTGATACAGATAGTATATAGACAGTCCTTGACTTATGATGGTTCAACTTAGGCTTTTAACTTCACGATGGTGCAAAAGTGATACACAGCCAGTAAAAATGGTACTTTTAGTACCCATACAACCATTATGGTTTTTGCTTTCAATACAGTATTCAATAAATTACATGAAATATTCAACACTGTATTATAAAACAGGCTTTGTGTTAAACAATTTGCCCAACTATCATATAAGCTAACGTAAGTGTTTTAAGCACTGTTAAGCTGGGTAGGCTAAGCTTTGATGGTCAGTAGGTTATGTGTGTTAAATGCATTTTTTACTTATGATATTTTCAACTTATGATGGGTTTATCAGGATATAACACCCTTGTAAGTTGAGGAGCATCTGTATATAACCATATACTACACAATGCCAGGTTTGCCTGATACATTCTAATGTGGCAAATTATGGGCCAAGGGGGGAGGAAATGATTGTTCAGCAAAGAAAACACCAATAACTTATAGAACTAAAAAAAAAAAAAAAAATTGGCTTGCCAGAATCTAAATGGCAACTTCAAGAAATGAGTCTCACACTTGAAATGGACTTTAGTTCACTACAGAGTGGGCTACATTGTTCCCACATTGTGTTATCAAGAATCCTGGAAGAGATGCCAATTCCTAATGGAATGTGTGGGTAAGAGAAAAGAGGGAAGTGCTCTTAGAAATGCGGTATGCTAGGTGGCCAAATCTCTCTAGCCCCCAAAGAAGGAATACAGTTATGGATGTGGAATCAGGGATGTGAACTCACAGGCGATCTGAGAGGATACAAGCCAGCTTTTTTCAATCCTGCACCTTTCTCAACATTAATGAAATGAATTCTCACTGGACTATCACCCCCATCCTATCTCATCA